AGAGACTGTAGCATCTGTAAAGGATGCTGTCAATGTTTCAAGCACCTAGAACAATCCGTTCGGGCGCACGGCTAACACTGCAGCAAGGAAAAAAAACTAAATCCTCTCCGGCCTTCGCCGCAGGTCTCCAGAAGCAAGACTGGAAAATGAGATCTCGGGACGACTGTCGACTGCTAGGTTGCTGTTTGCCACTCTTGCTCCCGAGACGTGAAAAACCCGGCAAAAGGACTAGCCCTCGTGTGAGGCAGGGTGCTCGCGACTGCTTGGCAGTTGCTGTGAGCGCAGGTTGTCCCTCCTACCCGTCCATAAGTCGTCTTGGCTGCTTAGCTCATTTCTGCGCCTGCATCTGGAGCTTGTAGTACACTCCCTTCAGGGCCATCAGCTCTTCGTGGTTTCCCTTCTCCACGACGCGGCCGTCGGCATTTACTAGGATCACGTCGCAGCCTTGGATGGTGGACAAGCGGTGAGCGATCGCGAAGGAGGTGCGGCCCTCGCGCGCTGCCTCCAATGCCTTCTGGACGATCGCCTCGCTCTGGGTGTCAAGGGCACTGGTGGCCTCGTCGAGCAGCATCACCGGCGGATTCCGGATGAGAGCCCTGCAGATCGCCACACGCTGCTTCTGGCCACCAGAGAGGCGGCTCCCCCGGGGCCCGACCTCTGTCTCCAAGCCCTTGTTGCCGTTCTTGTACAAGAATGCCAGGTTCGACATCTTCTCACACTGGCTCACATACTCGTCGCTCACCGTCTCCCCATCATCCAGGCCGTACATGATGTTGGCACGCACGGTGGTGTTGAAGAGGATGGGCTCCTGCCCGACAAAGCCAATCTGACGGCGCCACCACCGGATGTTCACGGAGTTCAGCGCCACGCGGTCCGCGCCGATGAAGACCTGGCCTTCCTGAGGATCATAGAAGCGTTGGATCAAGGACATCACGGTGCTCTTGCCACCGCCAGATGGACCCACCAGGCCCACAGACTGTCCCTGGGAGATGCTGAAGGTGATGCCCTTGAGGACCTGGATCTCTGGGCGGAAAGGGTAGAAGAACTTCACGTCTCGGAACTCAATCTGCCCGGCCTCTAGCTGCTTGGGGGTGTCGCCAGTTGGTTCCAAGCCATCAATCGCTGAGACGCGATCCATAAGCTGGAACATGTCGTGGCAGGCAACCTTCGCCTTCGTGGCGTCGCCGACCATCACGGCAGCCTGGCCAGCTCCCATGCCTGAAGCGGACACAACGTTTTTTGGAACGAGTTGCCCTACGCAGTCGGCATCACAGCGGCGAACATCGACGAGCGAGTCGACTTCTACCGGTGTTACGCGATGTGCAAACCTGCGAACTTTGAAGCGAAAAGCTCAAAGGCTGAGCCCCGGCCTGCGTAGAAGATACCCATGAAAGCCATCATCACGCCCTCGAAGTCTGCGACGCCTTCTTTGATCAGGATCGAAGCGATGTAGAAGCCACCTGCCATGATGAAGAACATGATGCCATTGGAGATGCCGAACCCCAATCCGGCGAGGATGTTGCGCCTCCACATGCCGACCAAGGACTTCTCGACCCAGCTCACGTACATGCCTACGAGGCCCTTCTCCACACCCAGTGCCTGCACCGTGCGAGCGTTCATCACCGAGTCCACCACAATCTGGTTGGCATTGGTGATGTTCTCGTTCTCGTTCTTCGAGGCACCGAGCAGCACGAGCATCTGAATGGCCTGCGCTGCGATCATGATCGGGATGGAGCCCAGCATCACCAGGGACATCTCCCAGCAGTAGACGAAAGCAATCACCAGGCCTACCAGCAAGGAGCTCATGGCCGCGGCCTTGGCCTGCACGGACTTGCACAAGGTCGTCACCCGGAAGGCCCACAGCTCCAAAGCTTTAGACAGCATGCCGGGGGTGTTGGCCGGATCATCATGGAAGCCCACCTGAGCTCACGTGCAACCGACACGCCGAACTGCACCCCGAACCTCTTCTTAGATTCTCCCCTCCCGGCCCCCCCGCCCCCCCGCCCGCCTCCTGACGGAACATGCCCGTGAGGATCGCCACGCGAAGGCGTTGTGTCATGGCCTCGCCAAGGATGGAGAAGCAGCCGTGGGAGACTGTGGAGCCGATAAAGGCACTGACGCCGATGATCACGAAAGTCAAGGCCATTAGCTCCAAGTCGGCCCTCATCTCCTCCTTGTCTGGCTTGAAGAAGCCACTCATCGAGCCGACCAACGCAATCGTGCACACCGGCATCGCGGAGCCATCCACCATGGCACCAAGGATGGCAGGAATGAAAAAAGGCCACTCCGGTCTGTTGTAGCTCAGCAGTCGTCTCATGGGAACCTTGTAATTCTTCGAGATCTCTTTCTCGCGATTCGCTTCTGCATCCTTCTCTCGCTTCACACGCTGGGTCTCCGACTCGCCGGAATTCGTGGAGGAGCGCCTCACGACGTTCTGCGCAGTGTGGTCATTGCTGATGGCGGCCGCATCCTTCTCTTCATCCTCTGCTTTGTGGGA